CCGTACCCTTTACCCAGTTTCTCCCAATTATAACACCTTACAAAACTATAGAACAGTATCCCAATCAGGATATTAATACCGATGCAGCCAAGATATGGATTGCTAGGCACTGTGAGGTTGGTTAGTTGGTTGGTTTCTTTCATGCTCTTTTTTTTCTTTCAGTAAACTTTTTATTTTGAGATAAATGTATATTCACATGAAGTTGTACAAAATAATACAGAGAGATCCCCGTACCCTTTACCCAGTTTCTCCCAATTATAACACCTTACAAAACTATAGAACAGTATCCCAATCAGGATATTAATACCGATGCAGCCAAGATACAGAACAGTCCATCACTACAGGGCCCCTTCTCTTGCCCTTTTATAGCCATACCCAGTCTCCCCAGTCTGTGCTTTCTGAAGAACAGTTTGATGCCAATGGTAAAAACAAAATATTTGGGGGGAACTAATATCTTTGTCAGGATGTTTAATACCTAGGGGACGAGCCCATTTCTGACAGGTGAGTGCTACCTCTGCTGTCCTGGTATATTCCCATTTCTGCTGTGCTTTTATTCCTAGGGAGATTCTCCTGTATTTTTTCCCTGAGTATCAACTACCATCAGAATTTGACTACACATCTGTGGAAGAACTTGTAGCAAGTTCTCAGGTGAGCTGGTTTTTTTGAACTCTGAGGGAATGATAGAATAGCCTGAATTTAATCTTCAGTGAAGAAAAATGTAAAATGTTACCAGTAAGAGGACCCATGGTTTAAGTAAATGAAGATGGGGATCTTCATACCAAATGAGTGATTCAGGATTAAAGCTGCGTTTGAAATCATTGTGGCCATGGGCTAAATAAGGTGGAGAAAATCTTGCAGACTGAGACAGACAATTGCAGATATGAAGAGCAGCATGATATAATCCCTGACTTCCCTCTCCCCCACCAAAAATAGAGTTTCTATTCCCTAGATACACTTCATCAGCCACCTGTGATGAGCTGAGCTGAGAATCGGGTAGGTCCGCCACATTAGGTGCCCAAAGCACTAGTCTTACTAGAATTACTAAAACAGTACTGGGATAGATGAAGAAAATTGTATTCACCAAATCTGCTTTCAGGGACAGTACCCAATGTGATTGGAAGGAAAACTTTGATCTTCTACCTGGGGTGCAAAGAGTGAGCCTCAGGTCTGTAGGCCATGCTTAAGTAACAGCGGATAGTTCCCAAGTGGCTTAGTCCCTACAGGGCTCTGGTGAAACTGAGTGAGGTATGCAGACCTGAGGCCAAGCAGAGCTTCTTGTGGAAGGGAAAGGGAAGAGCTGCCTGCCTGATATGGAAGGGTGGGAGGTCCCCTTCTCCACTTCCCTGCTCAGGGTTGCTTGTGGAAATGATGGATGCACATGGAAAGGCTATCAGTGAAAAGAGCGTGAATTATTAATGTTACAGAGGTGCCATATGCCTCCATCTGATCTGAGGTGAAATCCCTAATTTTCTAGTCTATATTCATTGTTTCTGCTTCTTTGCCTTCTACTCTCACCGCATCCTCTCCTATGGGGCTTCCGACTCCTTTGCTTAACTGGGACTGTTGTCATCAGGGCCACCAGTGACCT